TCTCTGCCATACAATTCTTATGATGTTAGTTTGGAGAATTTGCTATTAGATCAAGTAATCTAATTGATATTTTACTCTATTCTCATCAGTTGTCTGCTTAATATTGCATTGCCATTGTGAGGAGAGATTCTCTCTTGGTCACTCATATGAGTTGAAGGAAGCTAAAGAGTAAACTTGTTCGCGAATTTTTCCCTTTGACTTCTTACTGACTGTTTGTGATATCTTCCTTTCATCTGGTGGGCAACTGTAATTTCTTTTGTTTTGAAGTGCTTTAAAAAACGGTTGTGGATTACTACGTTTGATCATGAACGTAAATGTAGAACAGTGAATTCTTTTCGTGTGCGCGTACAGTTATATTACGTAGAATTCGCCAGCATCCACATCTAAAAGGGCACAATTTAAAAGTAACAACACAAAACGAAATTCAATTTAGTTGCCATCACACTCGAACAATTCTTCCTTCGAACGCATGACCAAAATCTCTGTAACACTAACAATGTTACAGAAAGAACACATTGCCCCAGAAATAATGAATATTGCACTAGAAATAATGCATCTTGCACTAGAAATAATGCATATTGCACTAGAAATAATGTACCTTTCGATTGCCTTATCTGTCTTTTGGTGATCACATCCTGACAGCTAAAACCAAATGAAAACCGTAAGAAAAACTTACGTTTAGTAAATAAATACACTTCGCATTTCAGTACGACCAGTATTCGTTATTTTATGCTAAGCTTATTAGAGGGAGACAAAAGAAAAAGGGGGCTGTCCGTCATCACGAACTTTGCGGGCTCGCGAAGGAGTCAACGGCAGCCAAGTTTTCTGTTTTGGGTGAAACTCACGTAAGATTGTTAATACGTATCGTCCCGTAAAAATTGTACAAATTGTACAAATTGTAAAAACTGACCGTATATTATCCACGTGTAATCAAAGGATTTCCAAAGCATTTTGGCATAACTATTAGACATAATATCTTGTGCTTCTTATTCAAAACTGGACCCAAAATCACCAATGCAAATTTCTTTTGAATTCTTCTTTCATGTTCACACTGTGATACATTTAAGAGCACACAAAGTGGCTGCCAGGGTGAACTACCTAATAAGTAAACAGCAAGGCGTTGGAAGTACCTGCGCTCCATTTCTGGATCACTTTTGTGCTTTTTGAGGCAAGAAAATACCTCGGATGGTTGAACGTCATCACAAAATACCTGAAATAAATCAACGCAAACACCGAGACGGCTGTAAAGCCACATACAGATTTCCTGAACCATCACGATATAAGGGATTGAAGCTCGACAAAACACCACGGCTCAGAGAACTCATTGTTTAAGTCCATGCTCATAAAGCTGAAGTAAAGGGTGTTGAAAGGGAACTCTGTTGTTGCTGTGGTGACCCTTTCGATACACAACTGAGCGTTTGTTAACATTAAACAAGGGTTGTGAAAATAAGGCATGGAAAACAAATCAGACCAAATGTTTTTCAAACTGAATTTTTTAGCTGCTGAAAATTGCGACGAATTCTTATCTTTCAAAATGTTTATTTCGCCACAGTCCGAATTTGATAGTCGTATATTCCCTTAGCAACGAAAACACAGGACAGAGAATTTCCAAGTAGCTGACATATCTCCTTTAGTTTCTAACTTCGACTACACAAACATAACAAAGACATGCGTACTTTGATCATCTTTCGACACGTTTTTCTCAGTTTGTAGTCCAGATCGGGGTCTTCGAACTCTTCCTCCTAAATAGAAAAACAACAACAACAACAACAAAAACAACAACAGTGGCATTGGTTATACGTTTCAAACAGTCCAAGAGAGCTCACCAGTCGACTTTTGCAAAAACCAAACCAAGTTAATCACTAAGCAGGAGGGAGGGAGTGATTAGCTTCAGTCCAAGTCCGAATCCAAGTCAGTCCAACAACAACAACAAGAATGGCATCAGTTATAGGTTTCAAACAGTCCAAGAGCGCTCACCAGTCGAGGTTTGCAAAAACGAAACCAAATTAATCACAAAGCAGGAGGGAGGGAGTGATTAGTTTCAGTCCAAGTCCGAGTCCAAGTCAGTCCAAAAACAACAACAAGAATGGCATTGGTTATGGGTTTCAAACAGTCCAAGAACGCTCACCAGTCGAGTTTTGCAAAAACCAAACCAAATTAATCTCAAAGCAGGAGGGCGGGAGTGATTAGTTTCAGTTTTGCAATCTCTTGGTTGAGAGAGATTCCTCAAAATGCGAGCAAATGAGATAGCACTGGTAGCAACAAGAAAAACTAGGACACAGCCAGCATTAGCTAAGCCAATCAAATAGCTGGATCTAAATAAAACTTTCATTGTTTTTAACGATAAGAGCAACAACTTCTTGCCTCGCGCTGAAAGAGCGTCTCTTTACACTGGCCAGATAATTCTTCTCGGTGGTCTTTAAGGCACTCCAACACCTGTAGAGGAATGTTGATCAATTAATGACTCCTTTGCCCCTCTTTTCTTTGCACCTGTCAATCAACTAATAAACAAACCTATACGATGGTAACCTTATCCCTTGCTCATTCCCATACCCATGAAGCAGCAATTCACTCTCCACGTTCAGTGGACAACAAAGTGTTCTCAACATCAAGCTTAGCATAAAGGCAAAGGGTAAAATCCTCGTTGAATATACAGGACAGTGCGCCGCCGGAGATAAGAACAATTCGGTTCAATCATTTTGCATTTACTCTCCACTATAAAGCTGTTACTCCACCTCTGGATATATTGAACATTCTACAAAGCTGAATGAAAGCTTTTTCTCCTGGACTTTTGTCAACATACTCTTTACATTTTGTGTAACAAAACCCAAGTCTCCTAGTGTTTCAAAATTGCATCAACTCTGTATTTTCTTTTCTCCTCAACTCCACTCTTTTCATGTATATGTACAATAATTAGCATATAGTTAATAAATCATCTATGAGAAAAACCAAGAGAACACCTGGCAAAGGGCTTGCATCTGACCAGGATTAGATTGATCAGAAGCATGACCCACTCAGTTATCAATAATGTCCCAGAAAAAAAAATTTCTTTCGTTTTGATTCGTTTTTGGTTTTGTTGATGAATGAATGAAGAAAGGATTTTATAAAATATTTTTAACAGCTTTTCGCTGTTCCCAACGGAGGGGGGAGGGGAGGGGAGGGGGTTCAGCCTCCTTCGAAACCATCATTTGAGCTTGTAGTGCTACATGCTCCCTCGCTCACTAGATGGAGTAGGGTGCGTGACAATGCCAAGTGATGCTTCCCTAGTTGCGAAAGGGGTTTTGGAAAAACCAGACATCACTGTATTTGTTGTAGTTCTTTGTTTCAAACTCATTATCATACATTAACATGACCGAGAACAAAGGAAAATAAAATTTGAACCAATTAAAAAATTGAACTACAACATATTTCTACGCTTACCTTTGCTTGACCAAATGTAATTTTGTTACATAACTTTGCAATATCTGCCATGCATTTCACCATCATCACAGGATCAAACTGGACATTTTCAGACTGAAAAGCAAGAATTTCAATTGGCTTAAAAATGTTTGCTAGTCAGGGAGGACAACCCGCTAAAAACCCTCCATTTAAACAGATGTGCTCTTAAGAGAGACTTCGCCGAAAAAGTGGGAATGCTCGTAGTTTAAGAGCAGGCTCCTCAAGGTGAGAATCAAAAAGAGAGACTGTACTGTTCTAAGTACACAACACAAGATAACGGGTTGTGGTTTAAAGCCCTCACTGTATGCAGTAGTCGCTAATTTCACCCTTATTTCTTAGCTCACAATCGAGATCAATTTTATGATTCGAATGTATGAGCCTTGGAATCCGCAACAACGCTAACTGAAAACTTCAACAACCAACATGTCCGACTCACAAAAACAAAACGTTCTACGTGTTTTCTCCTCGCTCGCTATGCCTTATGGGAGGCACAGGCCTCCCAACACTAAAAAACAAGAAATTCCCCTTTTTTTTGTAAATGTTCAACAAAAAGGTAACAACATATGCCTACACATCTTCCAATGAAATAAGCACCCCAAGTTATTTTTCGGGCATATCAATGCTTGAAAATGATAGTTACCGGGCCGTGAAATTGTCAAGGCCTCACTTGAACTTGAAAAGTTCGGTGCATCTTATAACCGAGTATTTTCCCAAAACTTTCTAGTTGGGAACTTGATATTGTCAATTTCACAAGTTGGAGGTGCGTCTTATCACCAAGTGCGTCATATCGTCATCTGTACGATAACAAGTGAGGGCAAAAATACCCTTTGGTAATGTAAGACGGGGGGGGGGTGGTGGTGGAGGAGAGGTAAAGCTTCCCTCAGGCCACTGTCATACGCATCTCAACTGCTAAACAGACAAACAAATACCCTTTGGTAATGTAAGACGGGGGGGGTGGAGGAGAGGTATAGCTTCCCTCAGGCCACTGTCATACGCATCTCAACTGCTAAACAGACAAACAAATACCCTTTGGTAATGTAAGACGGGGGGGGTGGTGGAGGAGAGGTATAGCTTCCCTCAGGCCACTGTCATACGCATCTCAACTGCTAAACAGACAAACAAATACCCTTTGGTAATGTAAGACGGGGGGGGTGGAGGAGAGGTATAGCTTCCCTCAGGCCACTGTCATACGCATCTCAACTGCTAAACAGACAAACAAATACCCTTTGGTAATGTAAGACGGGGGGGGTGGAGGAGAGGTATAGCTTCCCTCAGGCCACTGTCATACGCATCTCAACTGCTAAACAGACAAACAAATGAACTTACCTCAGTCTCCTTCTCTATCCTCAAGTGTTGACGACATGTATCAGAAATAACATGTTCTTCTTCATTGACAACAGCATCTCGGATCTTTTTACTCAAACAAACAACAAGGTCATGCCTGGAAAGAAAACATGGTTATTATCAAAATTGCTTGTGTATATCAAATGGATCCTGGGACGAAGGGGCTTTGTTTGAGTGCAGTATCTCGATAACCAAAAAAAGAAGAAATCATCCAGTCAGGGTTAACCAACCCACAAGCCACTGAGACACTGCATCTCCCAAATTTCCACCTTTTTCTCAAACCCCGCCCCCCGCCCCCCTCTCCCCTCAGATACATGGACATGAAATAATGGCTTAACTTTGAGGAAAGAACAAACCTACTAGGGAAGGCAGGGGATAACGCACTTAATCCACGTTTAATGCATAAATTGTCTAATAGATCAGAATGGAGCGAGTGAGTGAACTTTAGGTCCGTACCTAAATAGAACAACATATCCAGAAGTGAAATAGATAAATGAAAAGACTTTGAATCCTGCATAATGCCACCAATTCATTAAACACACAATGCAGCTTTATGTTCCAATCCAACTTCCCCCTAGTCTGGTCTTTACACCTTTGTAACTGTGGGCGACCAGTTATTTACCACACAACAAACAGTCACCAGCTAAAGAAGCTCTTGATTTTTAATCGAATTCTCCTTGTCAGCCTATAGGAAATGTATAGAGAACTGTATGGAGAATATGCCTACTGATGTTAGGGTGGAAAGGGATAAATATCTGCTCACTTGCTCTTTGAATCTTTGCAGTGCTCCTTTGCATCATCTTTGCAAGCTTTTTTAAATTCATGAGAAAAATGAAAATCTTTCATTTCAACCTGAAAGAACAATAAAATAAATATTAATAAAACAATAACATTAACTTCACTAAACTGGAATAAAAAAAATGGCCACAATTAAAAAAAAAAAAAAAAAATCAATCTTAAGAAGATTTCATGCAAGTAATTATTTTACTGACAGCATGTTTACATAGTTTGTCTACCATGGGTCTCAGAATTAACCATGGAGAAAAAATGTCTGATAAATATGTTTCCAAGGTTTGCAAATTTTATTGACGAGTGGAGTGTGGGTTCTGGTTCACACATTTTGGAGTCATTTTTTGAATACCTGGAGTCATTTTTTGAATATCTGGAGTCATTTTTTGAATATCTGGAGTCATTTTTTGAATATCTGGAGTCAAGTATCACAACCAAAAGGCAAGTTTATTTAATACTCCTAAACAAGTTTCTCACACTATTAAACAATTATAGTGTCTAATGGCTTGGTGCATTATATATTAAGTTAATAATATAACAAACAACAACATGTGAAAATGCTGAGGATGCCATCAGACTTTCCAGCACATGGTCTTGGCATGTATACACTATTGTGACAGTTTGTGAAAAGGGAGAAGTAGATGGACCGTCAAAAATCCATAAAATCTCCACTTCAATCACTTTTACTCACCAGCTGCCAGTGGCTGATGGCTGTATGACATTTCTCATCCATTCCTTGATCATTTTTGTGTTCAACTAAACACGGTAGGACCCCTTCTGTATTCCCCTGAGTGACAATATCCTATTTATACAAGACACAAAAATGATGTTTCTAGACACAATCTTGAATTAAATAAAATTATTTAATTTTTGACCTACACATGAAAAATTCAAGCTTCAATGGGATTCAAACTTATGCCTGTTAAGACAACCATGGTGACAAAAGAAATATCACCAACCTCGCAAAACTTTGTCACCATTCCAGAGCAAGCACGCACAAGTACCCTGTCCAGCTTGTAGTCCTGAATAATAATACCAAATACAAAAAGTGTTTTTCATAATCATAATCAGCCAAAGGGGGGTAATTATCTCATACTGCTTACTACCATGACCTTTACTTCAGTGGAAGGATCACTTGTAGACTGTTCTGAAAGTCACACCAGATAGGGCTACTTCTGTAAATGGTTCAGGAAAGTCTTGTTCTAAATCCTCTCCAATTTCGCCAGATGTCTTTTCTAAACACTGACTGTTGTAAAAAAAATGTCACAATGGTATGCTGAAGACTACACTAGAAAGTCTTTTGCATTTATTTCAAAATCCCCTTACTAAGACTGACTGAGGTCCATTTCAGGTCTAAAACAACAGCCTGGGATAAAGATGAAAGAACAACAGCAACAAAACAAACAAACAGACCTCTCCTTCCTCCTCAGTAAACTGACTGATGGCTTCCTTACAGGTAGTGGTGAGGTTGTAAAATCTCTCCTGCAAACATTGTATCTCCTGTAAAAGAAGGCAACACATTAAATTCACTCAGAAGAATGAGCAGGATTAGCTTAAGTGGGTGGGGAGAGAGTATATAAATTATATGTAATGGAGTGATGAGGAATAATTCCAACAAGCTAAAACGAGTTGTGCAAATTTACAAATACTTGAGGACTGCAAAATGGTATTTTGAATAGTGGTAAACTATTTAAAACAGTACAATAGCCTTGCCTGGACCTACCATGGGTGCAGAAAGAAACGCATCACAAAAGAAACAAGGCCTAAGAAGGTGAAGACAAAGAGGAACTGAACCCAAATATGGGGTAACATGGAAGAGGAATGTAGTCATGAAAACTGCACCCAGTGATGATCTCTGGCAGAGGGCCTCTCACTCACATAGGATGAGGACTCAGTTGGTAAGAAAGTGGAGAAGGAATAAAGACTAACTGACATAGTTTTCATTAAAAAAGGGAAATAGTAACCTTTACCTCTCCTTTTTCAACTTGATCACTGCAATATTTTCCAAGATCCACTACACATTTAGTTTGTATTTCAGGCATCAAATTTACATCCACAGCTCTTTGGTGCATGGCTCGTTCTACATGTGCAGCACATTTGGGAGAGACCTGAGTTACAAAGAAAAGTAATTCCAGATATTTGAAAAGAAAGTAGGCAAATGGGAGAAGCCTCAGCCCACTTTTCAGCATGCTGAAGACTAGATCCAAATTTTTTCTTCAGTGCATCCTTGCACCTCCAACTCTATGCAACACCTGCTGGCATTATATGGACCAATAACTCAGACAACTGTTGTGCACATTTGAATGAACATCTATGTTGTGAAAACTGGCTAAACCAAGATCAAAAGGTTGCCAAAAAGTGCAAAACAATCTGATATCACCATGCATTCCAATGGTATCAACCAATCATGGTGTACATTAAAAAGCTCACAGCTGTGTTAAAAATAACAATTACATGTGCCAGAAATATTATTGTGTGTTGCCATTCTTGGTATGTGAGTAGGGTTCTCAACAGCCCATTTGTGAATTACCCTTGGCCTCATTTTCAAAATGAGTCCTAGTACTAATCCTTTCATATGATAATAAGTTTCCATTCACATGCAAATCAAACTCATTTTCACAAGAATGGTTGAGCATGAGGACTCATTTTGAAAATGAGGCCAAGGGTAATTCGCAAATAGGCTATTGAACCCATACCCTGTAAAACCTGTCATGGGTGTCACTGGCAAGTGTTACAGCTGTCAAAGCCATTCGACTAATAGATCAATTCGTCTACTAAATGCATATAAAAGAACAACTTTTTAAGAAGGTAACTGAGTTTAGTAGTGACTGTTAGTCGGTTTTGGTTTTCCGAAAGAATAGCCTGTCTGCAGACCACAGAATGACTGAACAATGGCTATATTTCTCAATCTCATCTCAATGTTGAAATACGGCCGCCATCTTGAATTTGTAAACTTTTGCCCAAGCCTCCCGAAGATATCATCTTCCAACATGCTAAAACATGGTTATTGCAAAGCAAATGGCAGAAGGTCTCCTAATAGCTTGGTCCCTATCGGCCCAATTTACATGGCCTTTGGCCATGTATTTTTTGTGTTATGTGTAAAAGTAGCACAGCAACAGCTGTACATAATTCTATTGAGAGCCTTACTAGGTTAAAAAAAAAAAAAAATCAAGGTCATACCTTCGAGTCTGTATCCAGCACAATATGTCGATAAAGACATGATAAAATCAGGCTGACTGGATGTGAGTCTTGGTCCTCCAGGGATTCAGCAGCACAAATTTTCTGGGCATCCTCCTGACAAGCTTTCTGCATCACAGGATCAAGCCTGAAACAATCAGAAACCAAAACTTGCTAACAAAATGCACAAAAAACAAATTAAAACAAATCAATTTTGATGAGCAAGGGGTCAAAAACAACAACTGCCTTTTCGCAAGTCTAAAAAATCTGAATCCTGGCATCTGTTACAACACACAAAGAGAAAGGATTCTGGTGCCCATGTCATGTTAAAAATTACACACTGTTACAAAGTTTGCCCTTACTTAAAGTCTCTTGCAATGAAAAATTCCAGGTGAAGCAGCTGTTCCTCACATTCTGGTATCATGTTGTCTGTGTGTAGATTTTCCATCAGACAGGACAAAACCCTACAGATGGGAAAGCAAGTCACAGATTACTAATAAAGAAAAGTAGTCACATGTGGGATAGTCTTGCAAACAAGGAAGACTCAATGGCAGGGTTCAACATCTCCGCTAGCCAGAGGCTAGTAAAAATTTGGTCAGGCTGGTAAAAAAAACAGGTTTAAATAACCMMYKG